TTCAAGCATGTTTCATATTTGCATAGGATGTTTAGAGGATTACAACCATAGGGCCGTTTGATTTAACACTACAACTGGACACCCTAGAAAACTTAAACTCGTCATGGCAAGGAATTTGGAGCTAGCACGGTGGGCAGCACGGTCACTTCAACAGTATAACACGTCTTCCCCAGCAAAACCATCCCTTTTCCTAGAAATTAAACAACGATCCATAGGATTTCGAGGTTGTTCGCCTAGCGTGACATAAATCCTCCACATTTTCTTTAGGCATTCGTATAGCTCTGGTGTACGATTTAAGTCCTAACTCGTTCTAGGTTTCGAGGTTGTCGTCCGATACGACGTAAACCCTCATATCTTCTAGGCGATTTGTGTGGCCCTGTCACGCAAATATAATCTCTAATTAAATAAAATTGGCAGAATGAAACACTTTAATAATTTCTTCTTATAATTGGAGTCAAACCATAGGATAGACTGGGAAGTCACTGAAGTTCTCCTCAGGATCTGTGGCCTCCCCTAGTTTCTCTTCATTTGGATTCCTCAACAATGTTCCAGATTTGAACTTTTCTCCTTTCACACATCTTCGTCCGATTTCGTTGTAAAGTCCTATCCTTTTGACCTCTTTGAAGATGATATCCCCTGATTTTTATCGAGAGTTTTCTTAGGTGACCTAGGTCATTTAAGATGTAATTAACTATAGGGGCTTGCCCTTATAGGAAGCTTTTCCGAACTCAGCTTAAAATAAACCCTATTTAATTATTTGTACTAAATAGGGGAACTTGTCGGCAAATAAAACGGTTTCGCAGACCCAAACGGATGTCATATGTTTTCTTAGTTTATTTGATCGAGCCTCACCCTCAAGTCTTGTGTTTATCTCTCGAGGTAGATAAAGGATTTGAGGTAGAGTGCTCTTTCATTTAAACTGTGAAAAATATGAGGTTATTTTGATTTCATATTTTTCTTAAAACTTACATATACATATCTAAATTAAACGACCTTCCGAAGCGGGCGACGGGATTTCGATTCCGGCGACCGACAGCTTCTTACGGGCGACCCCCCAAACTTTCTTTTAACTTTCTTCTTTTTAGTGCCGACAAAGTCCTAACCCGCATTAGGTTCCGAGGTTGTCTTATGACACGACGTAAACCCTCTTATTTCTACGGGCTATTTATATAATCGAGTGTTATGCATATGTAAGTCCTAAATAATAAAATTGGCAGGATCAAACACTTAATTAACATCGTCTCTAAAATGCAGCCACACAGTAGGATAGTCTGGGAAATCACTGAGGGTTCTCCTCGGGATCTGTGACATCCCCTACCTTTTCCTTCCTTTGGACCCTTGAAAATAATTATTCTTATTTGAACCACTCTCACTTACATTTTCCACGTCCTACCGTGAAAACCTAAACTTTGAAATCTTGAAGACTAGTACCTCTGATCATTATCGAGAGTTTTCTCAAGTGACTCCAGTCATTTGAGATGTAATTAACTATAGAGGCTTGCTTCTATAGAAAACTTGGAACCCAGATAAAATAAACTCTATTTAATCTTTGTATTAGATAGGGGAACTTGTGGGTCATACATAAAAGGTTCGCAGACCAAACGGATGTCACAAATCTCTTAGTTTGCAGAATTGGGTCTATCGCAGAGGCCTACACTTATCTTTCGGGAGGGTGTAGTATTCGCGGTACCGGACACGATTATGCAAACCATTGGACTAATGAGATCCATTTGGTCTCATTTTTGTTCAAAATTAAAACATACTACTTTCAAAATCAAAAATATATTTATTTTATTAAATTAAATCTCAAAAATTATTTTCATATTCATATTTTCAAAATCAACCAAAAAAGTTGACCGACAATAATATGTCGAGAAAGCTTGAGAGCATCTAGTTATGTGGTTTGTGGCACTCGAATCAATGATCTATGGACTAAAAGAGACAAAAGAAGTGAGTTACATAGGAATGATACCTTAACAGACGTGGAAGGTCGACAGGACGGAAGACAACCGACTGAATCCAAGCAGCTTGATTAATTGCTCCATCTGACTCTTAAGAGAATTGGGTAATTTCGGAGTGTTTCGAGTAAAGCTTGTTCTACCGTATTGGATTTAAATGTAGTAGTGAGACTCTTGGCAGAGGAGGATTTAGTTGAAGGTTTGTATGTCGGTTTCCTGTGGAGTTTCCAAAACTAGTCATGAGTATGGTTGGGTTTGTGACAAAAATCTCAAGTGAAAACCCCAGACAGAGAGAACACGCCGACTGGAGAAAGATCAAGCCAGCAGAAGGGATCTTCAGTGGTTGGAAACGTCCGCAAGCAAGCCAAGCGATAGTCTACAAGGAGGTTGGCGGTGAGAAATGGTGACTGGAGGAAACACCACCAGGCGATCGGCGCTAAGTATGTTGGCAGGAAGAAAAGCAGGGACCTGCAGTTGGCTAGCAGCAAAAATACTACAGGGAAAGACCTGCAGGTGGTCGACGGCTAGGTAGAGACTCCAGAGTTAGAACCATCACTCTGATACCATGTTAAGTATTGAGAATTGAACTGCATACTTTCATTAATAGGAAAAGAGGTATAAATATACATTACACGACTCAAATAAAAGGAAAAAACATAAATTCAAAAAAAGACCACATAAGAAATACATAAATATGAAAATGGAGCAAATAAAATAAAAGCTAATAATAATTGCAACGTAAATAATAATTCTAATAAAACGTAGAAAAGCAATAATATGATGTTGCCATCAATTAGTTGAATATTCATACTATTTTGTGTATTTTTATGCGTTGTTTTTTTTCTATTTGCTTTTTCTATCTATTTTCAATTGGTTTTAACTCTTGCCTAACTGACTCAAGATGTTGCAGAAAATATAAACATGAGTTTGGAAATAATAGTGATCAGTCATAAATGTAGTAGAGATTTTTGTTATTCTAAGATCGAGTTTTGCTAAAAAAAAGTGTGATTTGATCATGAAAGAGAGAGTAGTGGAAATTAGATGCAATAAATTGGCATTAAGGTATGTGAAAAAAGTCTTTATTAGAGGTATCAACAAAGAGTGTCAATGAAGAATATTTATATTGCGAGTCAACAAAGAGAAATATGTAATGAGGACAAAATACATAATCATGGTTGACATTTGAAAATAAAGGAGATGGAAGATTAGATCAATTGTAGATGGCCTCTATCGAGTAGGATATGCAACCAAGAAGTTTCATACATAAGAAGTTGGGTCCTTTTTAACAACCCCGTGCCATATGCACAATCTCTGCCAATTCAGGTGACATTCTCCCACTATCTCCCTACCGGTTTTGACAGGTTGGGACCACTGAGGCTCTTAGGATTCTTCCCTTTTAGGCTATATAAGCATTGCTGTAGTACTGCATTAGTGAGTATGAATATAATGGGAGTGAGGCAGCTTAAGCTAGCCAAGTTTTGCCACTGTTTTCCTACTCTTAGGTGTCTAATTTCTGCAGCTCTTTATGGTATTAGAGACCAGGTTTCATCCCTAATACCTTTCTTCTTCCCTCTCCTTCATTATTTTCGACTGAAATCTTCCACCAGCAGAACAAACACATTTTCTTCAACACCCCTGGCTGATTACATCATAACACCAGCTCTTAGTTTCTCATGTCCAACATTACGGCAGTTGCCACCATTCAACTCACCGCTGACAACTATCCAACTTGGAGATCACAAGTAGAAAAGCTCTTCAAAGCCAATAGATACTACAACTTCCTGGATGACTTTGTTGTTTACCCGGCATAACAAATTAGAGACTCCAATGAAAACCTCATCACCAATCCTCTTTTCCTCACTGGCGATTAATCGATCAAAATCTTTCAGCTGCCATGTATTTGACTACGCCCTCTATTCTACCATTCATTCTCAATTTGGAATCTACAACAGCAAATACGGAATGCATTGGCAAAGAGATTGCAATCCACCAATAGATCAAGAGTAACACAACTAAAAGAGGAGCTCCATCAAATCTCAATGGAGGAATGAACAATGTCCCGATATTTGTTGGACATCAAGACTTTAGCAGTAGCAGGAGGGCATATAGATCAAGAAGACATAATTCTACACATATATTAAATGGCCTACCCTCTACCTACCGGACTTTCAAAACGGAAATTCGTACAAGAGCTGAACCGATCACTTAGATGATCTTTACTCCGTAATTAAGCAGTAAAGAGACTAAGGGTCTGTTTGGGGCAGCTTATTTGGTGCGTTTGCGTTTTCAAAACACACCTGGTCTGTTTGGGTAAACTGTTTTTTGGCAGCTTATGTGTAACACCGCTCCTGTCTAGGTGCGTGTGACAGCTTTCTGACAACGGTATAACTTTTCCAAAAAAACTAAAAATTGGTAATAGTCACCGCACCTAGCTTATCAACAGATTATTTTTAATCAGTTTATGAGTAGATTACTTAATAAGCTGCAGCTGCCCCTGCCCCTAACATTGCAGCAGAAAACATCTAGAAATCAAACAATGCTGTTAAAGCTCTGTACTTCTCTACTTAAACCGGTGGTCGTAGCAACAAAAGAGGAAGAGGCAGAAATAATATGGATCCAAGGAGAGGATAAGCTCAAAATACATCCAACAGGGGAGGTCGATCTTCAAACAACAACAGCAATTCCATCATCTCATGCCAAATATGTGGAAAATTTGGTCACATAATTTTAGCTTGTTGGCATAGAACAGATTTTAACTCCTATCCAGCAGCCAAAACTGATACAGCACTCTTCACCTCAGCAAATCGGATTGGATTCTCAATGGTGGAGTTATAAGACACCACCCAATTCTTATGTGTTTACATGTCTTAACACCTAAACTTCAATTTTTACATACTTGCACCTTATCTATGCATAAAATGGTGTATTTCACTTTTTCAAAAATAAAAGTATAATAGGGGAATGGGGGTTGAGATTGACAGGTTAGGTCTGCATTCTTGGAGAAGTAAAATTATATGATATGTAAATATGCAATTTTTTTACCTGAGTGCTATAGTAAACACGTCCTCGTTTGCCACCTCTTGTCATCGGTGGCGGTTTAAAGGCTACTGCTTCCTGTACCACTTGATTCAGAATGGATGTGCTTAGCCTTCTGGATCTTTCTCTTTCAACCATGCTGGCAGCATCAATAATCCTGGTAGCATAAGTTTGAAGGATTAAAGAGAATGTCACATGCTACAGAAGCATTCTAATTGAAATTATGAAAGGTTAATCATATTAATGTGAAAACAAAAATGCAATAGAAATATGATAAGCAAATAAATCATATTTTTACTAGGAAAGATGGAAAAATGGATTTATGTTCATAACAGACCTTGAAAAAAAGTCAATCCTTGTAGCAGCAGTCAAACTATCAAGATAAGACGGATGGAGAATTCCATTTAATTACTAATACTAATGAAATTAACATGAACAGAACCTACTTTACTAATGCCACGATTGGACGAACTGCACTTGCGACTCTTTTGTAACTATTCTAAATCGATTTAGTGAAAATAAACTGCTTGATCCAATCATGCTAAATAATTAAATTGATTTTCATTCGAAAAATTTTGTCACAGTTCTTACAATAGGCTATCAACCATCCCAAATCAGGCTAAATTAGGAATCAAAACATTTCATTGAAAATCTCACAAGCTTGCTCTAAAAACAAAATTAGGTTAAGGTGGACTTGAATTAATTATTCTAATCATCAAGTAGACAGCATACTGAATATTTCAAATTTGAGAGGAGAATAAAGGTAAGTAAAGACCAGTAACGAAAAAGTAATACTTATCAACACTATGGCCAGTCGTTGCAGTAGAATAAACAATTGGCGCCCAGTTAAGCATGCGCAGCTTCTCCCTCACATCTTGCTCGTAATATGTAGTTGTTTCATGGTTCTTTTTTGGTATTGTATCCCATTTATTTACAACAATAATGCAACCTTTTCCTTCTTTCTCAATTCTTTCAGCAATTCTGTAGTCCTTAATGACACTTAGCAAAAAAATTAGTTTATAATATGTTTGAATAAAACAAAACAGGATTCAATTTCCAACAAAACAAAATTGAAGAAGAGACTACTACTAAGTTATAGTGGATGGTTTAATGATCAACGAGGGAAGACAGATTATATCAGCTTTAGTATGGAAACAAATACTTAGAACTTTTCAATCTCGCAGATAATGCAAAGAGAAAAATTATAATAATTAGCATGTCTAAAAGCTTGTGAAGTAAAAATGCTCTGTTTAATTTTCATCTGATGGATTAAAAAGGAAGAGAATTGCTTGGCATATTTTTCACTGTTGCAGATAAACCATATTTACTATTCCAACTGGAAACATCAGCAGTTCAGAAAGTTTGTTACTCTTATTCCATTTATTTCGTATTCCAAAAGTGTTACATTAAATTAATGCATGGCATTCCACAAAAAGAAACTGGTGCTATTTTACAAGAAAAGAAAAAACAATTTTCAGATGCAATTTGCTAAGACATGAGAAACCTGAGCACATCCAAAAATTGAAAATTATGTCGAGTAAAAATAGCAATTAGTTGCCCCTTTGCTATGGGCTTAAAATTTTGGGTTGAAAAGGAGTTGAGATTTGGCTTGGACCCAACTTCAATCTTTTTTTTTTAATTCACACTTCCTAACAAGAGATAATAAAGCTCATGGTTCAACTAGGATAAGGTGGTTCATTCAATTTTTCAAACCCATGGGTCTTTAGTCTTTGTATTATGGTTGAGGAAGGTTCAAGTATGGGTGACTCCCACGATGCCTCCCATGATTCAGAAGGTTCTTAGTACGTAATACTGGAAGATGCCGAAAAGCTTCTGCTTGAAGGCTAATGATTGTTGATGTAGAGAGCTCTCATGTGAGGGGAAGATTAAAATGTGAGACCATGTTTAGTCCCATATTGGATAGCTGAAAGATACATAGGTGCAAAAAATAGCAGAAGGTTGGCTCTCACTCATAGGCTTAAGTTTTTTGATTGAAAATGAATTTCTAGCCACTTTAGCTTTGCCCCGTTTAGTTCACACTTCCTAACACAATAAATAAATGGTTGACTTCAAATAATGAGTTAAATATAAGCAAAGGAACAATTCAAGACATTTTAAAGCATAATGCCATATCATCTGTGCTTCTACCACAAATTTACTACAGCATGACATATATCATGATTAACGGGACATCATTAAAAAATTTGTTCAACATACCTCATTCGGCTCTCAAGCCGTTTCAAGAAAAACATTTGAATATCCTATTACCTACTAGGATCCAAAGAAACATGTTTTGTTTCTCAATGTCCTAAAAAAGGAATACAATACTAATCTGAAAAATAATTAACGGAGAACTAAGGAGGAAATTTAAATTGTTTCAACTTCTAAATCATGTTACAACACGGCAGGTCTGCCATGTTTTGCAGATGCTTGCATATACTAATGATTATTTTTTGGTACCACTTTACCCCATTCATTTTATCATAAAACACGCATAACACCTATGCGCTCAACCTCTATGCTTTTGAGTATAGTATCATGGATATCTTTTCTTTCCAAAATAATAGAAAAAATTAAAAAGGCGTTCCTGCCTATAGAACCTCATCCTCGCCTCTGACATCAACCTGGCCATCCTCTCTCCATCTCTCGTGTGTTTGCTTGAGAGAAATGAAAGAACAAAAAATAATTCTCGTATAATCCTTTCATGAGCGGCGAGAACTCGAACTAACGACACCTGCCTCTCTGCTGTAATTAGGTTATTTTATCTTATTTTATATTTTTTATTACTTTTTTTACAGTGTATTATGAAAATCTGTTAGCTGGAGCCCGATCCCTTCTGTCTACTCCAGCGCAGCCGCGCTCACGCCAAGCTAAATGGCGAATCGGCGCTTCCCGCTCCCGC